ATTAGAACGGCTTACGCCAATCACCCGAATCACAGAAGGAGTGGGAGCGTGCGACGATCGTCAAAGTTATCCCGTGGGTTAGGAGCCTCTTGGATACATGCAAAGGGAGTTCTTGGGGTGCCTCTCAGGGGCCTAAAAGCTACGCAGTGCTGTGTCATGCTATGCCACGCTGTGCGAACAAACAGAGAGCAAACAAACATCAACAATCAACATACACACAATACTTCATCGGGTGGCACATATATGGAAACATGTCATTGCAAGTTCTTTCCCACGCCATCACCGACACATCCGACGCATATGTTCTCGCGCAATTGTTGCTTGCATTTCGTCTTATTTGATATTCCAAGCGCTACCGCGCTATTTGATTCCATGCGCTTCGCGCTTCTGCACTCCTTGACATAAACCCTACGCGTGGGTGCATATGAGGGGCCCTTAGGATACTTCTCAGAGGCCTAATGAGCTAGCTATGCCGTGCTGTGTCACGCAGTGCTGCGTTATGCTAAGCAATGCCACGCTGTGAACAAAAAGAGAGCAAACAAACATCAACAACCAACATACACGCAATACTTCATCGGGTGACACACATGTGGAAGCATTTCTTCGCAAGTTTTTTCCCACGCCATCACCGACACATCCGACGCATATTCTCTCGCGCAATTGTTGCTTGCATTTCGTCTTTTTTGATATTCCAAGCGCTACCGCGCTATTTGATTCCATGCGCTTCGCGCTTCTGCACTCCTTGACATAAGCCCTACGCGTGGATGCATATGAGGGGCCCTTGGGATACCTCTCAGAGGCCTAACGAGCTAGTTATGCCGTGCTGTGTCACGCAGTGCTGTGTTATGCTAAGCAGTGCCACGCTGTGAACAAAAAGAGAGCAAACAAACACCAACAAACAACATACACACAATACTTCATCGGGTGACACACATGTGGAAGCATTTCTTTGCAAATTCGTTCCCATGCCATCACCGACACATCCGACGCATATTTTCTCGCGCAGTTGTTGCTTGCATTTCTGCTTATTTGATATTCCAAGCGCTACCGCGCTATTTGATTCCATGCGCTTCGCGCATCTGCGCTCCTTGACATAAGCCCTACGCGTGGGTGCATGTGAGGGGCCCTTGGGATACCTCTCAGAGGCCTAACGAGCTAGCTATGCCGTGCTGTGTTACGCAGTGCTGTGTTATGCTATGTCACGCTGTGAACAAAAAGAGATCATACAAACATCAACAACCAACATACACACAAAACTCAATCGCGTGGCACACATGTGGAAGCATTTCTTTGCAAGTTCTTTCCCACGCCATCAACGACACATCCGACGCATCTTTTCTCCCGCGCCATCACCGACACATCCGACGCATATCTTTTCTCGCGCAGTGGTTGCTTGCATTTCGTCTTATTTGATATTCCAAGCGCTACCGCGCTATTTGATTCCATGCGCTTCGCGCTTCTGCACTCCTTGACATGCAATCCCCCGTGAAAAGTCGAGTCACCGCGTAAGCCCTCTGTGTGGGCTCTGTGGGAACTGGAGTCCCCACAAGCGCCCCCTGTGGGAACTGGAGTCCCCACATGCAGCCTCTGTGGGCAGTGGAGTCCCCACAAGCGCCCCCTGTGGGAACTGGAGTCCCCACAGGCAGCCCCCGTGGGCAGTGGAGTCCCCACAAGCGCCCCCTGTGGGAACTGGAGTCCCCACAGGCAGCCGCCTGTGGGCAGTGGAGTCCCCACAGGCAGCCCCCTGTGGGAACTGGAGTCCCCACAGGCAGCCTCTGTGGGCAGTGGAGTCCCCACACGTGCCCCCTGTGGGAACTGGAGTCCCCACAAGCAGCCCCCGCGGGCAGTGGAGTCCCCACGCGCGCCCCCTGTGGGAACTGGAGTCCCCGCATGCAGCCCCCTGTGGGCAGTGGAGTCCCCACAGGCGGCACCGGTGGGAACTGGAGTCCCCGTAGGCAGCCCCCCTCCTGTTGGCAGTGGAGACCACACGGGCGGTTGTTGTGTATGTGGCCTGCTTTGTTATCAGATCAGTTTCAGGGTTGTTTTGTCTCATCCTGTACCTTTACTGAAGCACACTCGGCTGGATGTCTACTGCTTCGGCTTCTACGTGTCGGGCGACTTCTGTCTGGAGTATGCGAGACTGCTTCAACTGGGTCGATCACGTCATGAAGATTGCCAGCACCCGCTTGGGGTGTGATGCCGCCACGAAGGCTGCACATCCAATATCTCTACCACTTCCAGGGGGGTCACCAGTTTTTTATTTTCATCGGCGATCCCGTGGTGCCTGAATAACCAAATTGCCCCAGTGCGACCCTACCTAGAAGTTTGACCCCCATAGGAAAGCAGCATTGGTTGCTATGCTATGTTATCCTATGCCATGCTATGCTGCGCTATGCTATGCTATGCTATGTTATGCTGCGCTATGCTATGCTATGCTATGCTAAGCTATGCTAAACTATGATATGTCATGCTGCGCTGTGTTATGCTAAGCTATGCTATGCTGGGCTATGCTATGCTATGCTGGGCTATGCTATGATATGATGTGCCACGCTATGCTATGCTACGCTATGCTATACTATGCTGTGCTCTGCTATGCTAAAGCTCGGCGAAGCTAAGATGAAGGTAAGCTAAGCTAAGACAAACCTGAGCTAAGATGAAGCTAAGCGAAGGTAAGATGAAATAAGCTAAGCTAAGATGAGATAAGCAACGCTAAGCTAAGGGAACGTCGCTGGGGGAACCGCGGGGCGGATCCTGAGGGAACCGCCCGGGGCGGGGAGCACTGCCCGGCCCTTTAAGCATACAGGGTAAGAACCCTTCTAGGCAGAGCCAAGGTAGGGAACATAGCTACCGACGACGACGACGACTACGACGCAGGTTGGTCCCACGCTTGGGCTGCATACATTGTCTACTGCGTTTTCAGGGATTGGGGCGCCCGAGCACGCGAACATTGCGATCAATTGCTACTTCGAGCGGCACTACCCTGCCTGGAGTGGCACAACGATGCAATCTTGCTATGCGGTGGAATGGCATCAAGAATCCCGCCGGGAACTCGCGATGCTTCCTCACCCCCATCGTCCTCGCTGCATGTTCAAGGACATTAACGAGTTCTGGCATCCGCTCATTTACGACAAGATCTCGAAAGCCGCAGCGGCTGGTCAGATGTGCCTTGAGGACTACGAGAGGATCATCAAGAAAGGCAAGGCCGTGGTTACTTCAGCACCGTGCGTCTTTCATGGCCATGAGTGTCCGAAGTGCCGAATGGAGAAGTCCAGCATCCACGTGGCGGGCACGCCATGCCCGGACTGGTCGCAACAGGGGCAGAGATGGGGAGAGGAGGGACGGGATCTGCAATGCACCATGTGCTGGGTGGGTCAGCGCTACGTCATCGAGGACGACGCATTCTTGAACGAGAACGTGAAGGAATTCCCATGGAATCGCATCTTCAAGATACTGGAGGACAAATACGTGCTGTATACGTGTATCGTCAACTCGAAGGACCTGGGCTTCCCGCAAGTGCGCGAGAGGCGAATCACTGCTGGAGTCCACAAGCGCATCATCATGTCCAGGATGACGATTCCAGTGCCCATGCCAGAGTTTTACAAGCAGTGCGCGAGGTTGGTGAAGTGGCCCTGGACAGGCGTGATGATGGCAGCTGGTGATGAACTCGTAGAAGAACTTCTTTGGGCCAGGTCTCGTCCAAAGAGTTTGTATGGCAAGACCGTCGACGAGGAGATCCACAATCTGCCTGGGCACATGCTGTTCCGGAAGACAGAGCTGAAGGAGTTGAAGGAGTGGACCCAATTCACCGATGCGCTCACACTGTGGGAGCTAAATAATTTGTACGAGTACCGCCTGACGATGCGCGACCCGGATGCGCCAGTGACGTTCTCTCTTCATCAGGACGCGATTAAATGGACTACCCGCGGAAGCGTGATGTGTACCCATACGCTCATCAAGAACATGGGTATCGTCTTCAGCAATGCGCATGGGCGCTGGCTGACGTGGAGGGAGCTTCTCATGCTTCAAGGGTTCCCAATTTACCCTGGCGCCAAGGTAAACCTTGAGCCCACTGTGTTCGACTATTCGCGCTCTTCTGTCTTCTTCCCAGATCGGAAGCGCAATCAAGTACTGGGCCAAGTTGGAAACACTATGAACCTCAACGTGATAGGTGCAGGGATGCTGTGGCTGATGACGAACGTTCTCTACGACCCATACTTCGCCGACCCGGGCAGCCGCTTCAACTGCCCCGCCGCCTCTGGCAACCGCCGTAGCCTCAAGCGGAAGATCGAGGACGTGGGCGTGGACTAGGGTCAGCTACCGTGGAATCGTGAACATTTAGTATAGTGCCTTGGGTTTGTTGCTGGGTTTAGTTCAACAATTTCGTTGCTGGGCGAGATACAGCTTGCTTCCGATCTTAGATTCAAACCCTTCGATCCTAGTGTGCTGTGCGCCTGCAGGCCAACAGAAAACATCCACCTCCTCCACCACCCCCTTCGGTGGAGAGAGGGACGCGGAGGAATGGAGGAGGAGGAGGAGGAGGAGTGAGGAGGGGGGAGGAGGAAGGGATGATGGGGGCGATTGGTCTGAAACTTTAGTGTTGAGACCCAAGGGGCCCAAGGGCCCAAGGGGCCCAAAGGGGTCTTAAACCTCATCCCTCCTCCCCCCCCCTTTCCCACGGGGAAACCATTCGCATGTGCTCAAAAACAAGCAGAACAAGCTCTTGCTCACTAACAGGTTTTTGGCACTGAAAAGGGCTTAGTGAGCAAGAGCGTTTTTTCGCGTTTTCGGTTGGAATCGTTGGCTTTGATGGCGATCTCCCAAGACGGCCTCAAGGCAGCCCCAGAGAAGCCCCCGGGGGGGAACGGGGTGTCATGCGGTCAAACATCGAACGTCGCGCATTTCGCTGACAGCAATTTGCTCGAATATTTAGCTATTCTCGGCTACGACGCCGCGACCTTCACCATATACCGTGCTTCTGGTTTCGTTGCGACTCCACGGCGATGGACCAAAACACCCAGCTCAACATGTTCAATTCGCTCAGGCATATTTCGGAGAGGTTCCCGAACATGCATGGAAATGAGTTACAGCACAGGGTGTTCAGGGACTACGTGATCTCGCAGCAGGACGTGACTCTCCGCCTCATCGACGAGCAGGGGGAGGAGACGCTGACCCGGCACAGGGTGAACAAGCGCGACCATCAGGCGGTGAGGGAGCAGTACGTTCAGAATGTGTTGACCCAGGGCGTGGTGGTTGGAGTTCGGGGGCAGCCTTGGGCGGTTCCGAATGATCGAGTGTCGCCTGGTGGGGTCCAGCACCACGGCCTTATCTCCTGTGCGACCCTGACAGAATCACTCTACGAGGCCCGCAGGCGGGATCCGGGCAACAGGTTCGTTGTGCAGACGATTCGAGACGGGCTTCCCAACGCGAAGATTTTTCATCCGAGAACGCCAGATGACGTCTTATACTACTTAAGGTCCCTTCACAACCAATTCCATCGGGGCGCTGGTACCTCGCACTTGGAGTTGTACGAGAAAGTTCCAGCCATTGAGGCAGGCTGGTCAGAGCATACCCGCAAGAACCACTTGACATCGAGAGGGTGCGCTGCCATCGGGAAATCGTGGGATAAGTGCTACGAGGAATTTCTCAATGAGAACTTCACTGGGCTCTTCAAAAAGTACAACCACTTCAAGTGCGCGAAGATCTTCCTGCACGGCATGGAGAAGCTCAGCATCATGCAGGCCTACATCCAAGATTGTAATGCGAAGGTCAACTTCGCGAATCCCAAGTTCTCCGTGGAAGGGGCCCTGGTAATCAACCGCGACGTGTACGTCACGATCTACGAGGGCTTCGTGGACACCGTGCCCGCGGATCACTTGAAGGTGATGCTGCTGGAGGCCCTGAAGTTCGTCGTTCCGATCGCGGATGCGGGCGACAGCGTCGACGAGGATACTCGCTGGGTGTTTGAAGGTGGAGCGAAGCCAGATGCCTTGAAAGCTCTTAAATGCCCAATGGGAGGCTCTGTGGTTTTCAAAAGTGGCCAGAAGTCGCATCAGAAGGAGATGAGGAAGAAAGAGGAGAAGGGCAGCAAGGGCCAGGGCAAGGGCAAGGGAAAGAAAGGTAAAAAGAACAAGGACGATGGCAAGACAGTGAAGAGGTCGTCGCCAGTGAAGCCAGGCGCAGCCAAGGGTCTGAAAAAGTCGATCGCCAAGATGCTATCGAGCCCGAAGTCCCCTTCAAAGAAGAATAAGAAGGCCGAGGCGCCGGAGGCACAGGGCTCAGCTCAGGGCTCCAGCTCAGCCGATGCTCCGCCGCCTCAGCCCGACGTGGGCAAGGGCAGGGGCAGGGGCAGGGGCAGGGGCAACAGCGGAAAGGGTGAGGCCCCACCCGCCGAGGCCGTGGACATGACGGAGTCTTGGGAGACAACCGCCGCCATCATTCCGAGGACGCCTCCGGCGCGTCCTGACCCGACCGCATCAGATGATGATGTGGCTGGTGATGCAATCATCGCGCCTGTCCCTACCCCTGACGTGACATCGCGGGAGAAGCTTTTCCTGGACGACCTCTACTCTGCAATTTCCAGCGTGGTCCGCAAGGTTCCGGATGATAAGGTGAAGTTTGACAGCATCAAGTGGGCGTACTCGCAGGGTATCTTCTTCGGCCTGTCGAAAAAGGTGATGGATGGTGCTGTAGCTGCGTGTCCACAGCTCTACGGTGCAACGTTGTGGTCGCACGTTCGCGCGGCTCTGAGGTCGAAGGTTGCCGCCGATCACGCAGGCATTCCAGGAGTCGATGCAGTTGCGGCATCCAACATCGCTACCTCGATCAACTGTACCTTACAGAGGGTCGTGGACGAGAAATCGGAGATGACAAAAATCAAGATGGCCGCGCTCGACCGTCTTTGGGATGATGCGCAGATGGTTGCTGATTTGTCGATGTTCCTCCTTAAGAACGACGTGGCCATGCCAGTCACCATGCAGCCCGCGTTCCAGGAGATCAATACGGCGATATTCACATCTATTCGCAAGGAGTCTCCCAAGGAAGGTTTGGACATTGACGCTGTCGTCAAGTCGATGCAGAAATACATGAAAAACCATGCCATCTTCAATCGCCGCGACCTCATCGTGCCCGTGCTTCATGATCTGTTTGAGAACTGGTCTCTTTCCGTCCCGCAGCGCTTGCAGCCGATCTTCCCGGATGCGGTTACTATCAAGAGCTTCTGCAGGTTGGGGCACTCCAATGGCTGGGGTCGTCGTGATTCAGGTTGCATTGCAGAGAGCACGCTTCAGACCTTTTCAAGTCCATTGCCATGTCAAGCAAACGATCCAGGGACCCGCGTCCAGGAGAAGCTCTGCTCTGCACTGCGACCTGATATCAACGACGCTCTTGTCCAATGGCGTGCCCGCCAGGTTCCGCGTGGAGTACGTCATGGGAATCTTGAACACACTTTGCACTGGCAGCACCAAGGTTGTCAAGCATCCATTCCTCACGCAGCTCGCCATGATATCTGACATCGTCGAGGTTGTGTCGCACGTCGACGTCCATCTCCTGCACGACACTGACAACGCAGTCCTCGATTGGGAGAGGTTCTGGGCGGAACTGCTGGCGACTGCATCCCAGGAAGCTTCCACGCCATCTACGCTGTCGGCATTTGTCCAGAGTCGCCTGGATTCCATCCTGGACCACAACAAGAAGCAGAACTCTACCAAGCTCGGAGAGCAGCAGGTCGTCAACCAGCCTGGGTCACAGAAGGACGATCAACCGACCGAGACGACCCAGGAGACGAAGGAGGCTAAGTTGAAGGAGGCGATCCTGGCGACTCGTCAGCCCATGGAGGCAGTGATGACCGACATCGTCAACATGTGGGGCGGCCTCGCTACGGACCATGAGGAGGAAGAGAAGAAACCATTGGTGGAGGACCACCACCGCATGCGCTTCCTCGAGGTGTGTCTGGAGGCGATCTCCCGGGACATCCACAAGGCGGCGCTGGACCTCTACACAAACACGGCAGACAACGGTCTCGACGGTGTCTACGTGGACCCAATCTGCTGCGGGAGCGGCGCATGGTGCGTCCAGGCAAGCCGTTCCGTTCGCATGAACTTCATTGGCCCCCTTAGCCTGATACCGTCTGTGGGCTCTATCAAGATCGCTGAGGTGGACGGCATGGGAGTCTACGTGCGCTGCAAGATCAACATTTCGCCAAACAAGGGAGGCGCCTACATCAACGAATACGTCGCGCCAGCCTGGTTGGTGCGGCCAGTGAAGGCGACGTGCGACGGGGAGCCCGTGGAGGTGCCTACAATGAGCATCGCGCACAAGACTATTCAGGTCGATGTCAAGTACTCCAAAGCAATGCTCTCACCTCCTTTGTCGGTGAAGATCCCTGTTAAGCTCTTCTACATGACAGTACTTCCAGGCTTCTATGACAAGTGCGTCGAGCTGACGCGGCCGTGGATCGACGAGGAGGTGCGTGAGACTACCGCGAACATGAAGACGTTCAAGGCGAGCGATCTCTCCCGGAAGGCCCTCTTGCTCAAGGCCAGGGCCGCCGAGGCGGCAGCGAATGGTGCAGAGGACGAGGCCAACAACGCCAGGCTTGAGAAGAGGAAGAGGGAGGAGTGGACTGATATTGCTAAGCATCTGTTGGGATGATTTCAGGCTCGGGCCGAGGAACGATTTCTTTTTTGCGCCCTTCTGTTAGGCCGAGTGCATAGGGCTCAGAAGCCAGACGTCCCAATCGAAACGTGAAACAACTTAGTACAAACATGTGCATCCAAGTTCGTAGCTTGATCTGTTGAAACAAACGGTTGGGACGCATTCTGAGCCTTTCGCAATGCGTATTCTTCCAATCTCGGTAGCATTGCATTGCTTCTTCCACGATGCGTGCGGTCGCACGCGTCCTTCGTTAAGTCCCATGGACTTCCATCAGGTGTACTTGTGCTTCTGGGAAGTTCGAATTCGATTTACGGTATTGCTTAATTGGCCTTTTCATGGGGTACTCAAGCGAGCTGGGTGTATGTTGTTTTCACCGTCACCAGAGAGTCTTAGGCAGCGGCCAAGAGGGAAGCGCCGAGGGTTCGGCTGGGCTCGTCTCGTCGTTTACGGCAGTGGCCAAGAGGGCCGCGTCGTGGGCAGAGCCGACGGCAACTACACCGCACCAGAACACTACACACACACGCACGCACGCTGACACACACACACACACACACACACGCACACACACACACTCACTCACTGCCAGCCGCTGCCAGCCAGCTGGGCCAGCTGGGCCAGCAACTGTGGTGAAGTTGATTCGAGATATTGAGTTCTGCGCAAGCAAAGAATTTCATCCGACGCGGCTCCACCGACGTATCCAACGTTCTGCCTCCATTTCAAGCGCTACGCGCTCCAGCCAGCCCTTCCGGATAAGCTTGGGTGTCTTGGATATCTGGGGTGTCTTGAGTGTATGGTTCTCTTGGGTATATTGGATGAGGCATCTAGGGTGTGCTGGGTATCTTGGGTATATTGCTTGTCTTGGGTAGTTCGGGTGTCTTGGGTAGATTGAGTTTCTTGGGCGTCTTGGGCATATTGGTTGTATTCGGTATAAATGGTGCCTTGGGTATCTCGTGCGTCTTGGGTAGATTGGATTTCTTGGCATGGGCATCTTGGGTGTGATGGGCATCATGGGAATATTGGCTGTCTTGGGCGTGGGCCGTCTCGGTTTTAGGTGCGTGTCGCACTCATGCGTTCCAGTGCTGTTCCTCTTTGCACTTTGCAAGTGATAAACATAACCCACGCCGACCACGCCCTACTATATTCCAAGCGCTACGCGCTACAACTTGATTGCGACCATGCCTCATGAATATGTTGTCCGACCGCGCCCTACTATATTCCAAGCGCTACGCGCTATGTCCTGACTGCGACCTGCCTCATGAATATGTTGTTCGATTCCAAACGCTATCGCGCCCCGCCGCATTTTGTATTGTTATGAAACAGAAGCGAATGATACTTGCAAGCGCATCGCGCTCCAGACATCAGAGGGTATAGATGTATATACATACGTATACAGACATGGATATGCGGGATATCTGCGATTGATTAAACAATGCCAATGTTGTTAATAGCGTAATAAGCAACAACACATTTCAAATACATATTGGTTTTCGAACGTATCAGTTTACGTATATCCTCTCTGTATAGCATCATTTTCCTTTTCCTACCCTCGTCCTTTCCTTCCTTTTCGTCACGTCGTCGCCCCCCCCCCCCCCCAGAACTTCCCAGGACACATAAAAACACGTTCTGCACAGACCCGGTACTTGACCTGGCTCTGGGTGGCAACCGACCTTCTGCGGTCGCCCTTGTTAATCTTGAAATTCACTGCTGGCTCGCTCAAATTCGCAATCGGGGCACGGCGAAGCCCCCCGCCGTCGCCCTCGCGCGGCGGGGCGCCCGCGCGGCACCAGCTCGGCCTCGCGCACGGGCAAAATCAGCAGATCAAAGAAAGCACAAGCACAGCAAACATAAGCCCAAGGCTCACGCCTGACATCAGCACGCCCCGGCTCACGCAGTAGCCCTCGGTCGCGACCCCAGTACGCCCACTGGAGTCAGCGCGCTCTCGCCCATCTCCTGTGGCACCTCGCACACCTCGGTTGAGCCCCCCTTGGCCGCGGTGGGGAGTGGCGCAGCCGCGGCGAGCAATGCCCTCAGCAGGTTCGATTGGGTCTGGATGTCGGTCGGGGCGGCCCGGGCCGCGGCAACCCTCGAGGCCCCTGGCACGGGCGCCCCCCTTAGCCCGCATTTCTCACGGAGCCGCTCGAGGCGCGTCCTCGGCGGCACCTTCGCGCCGAGACCCGTCAGCTTGTTCCCCCCGTCAACAGGCTCGATGGTGATGACCTTCTTGGCCGCCAGCTGCTGGATCCAGAGCGTCTTGGTGGCGAGGTGCTTGATCCGCTCTGTGCCCTCACGCCTCGCCAGCGCTCTCGCACTCGAGCTGTCGCATCGCCAGCTCATGCGCACGCTGTAGCCCATGAACGTGAAGAGCGCCTTCAGCCCGAGCCCCTCGCTGAAACCTCGAGCTCCAGCGCGCCGTTCCGCTTCGCAGCTGCTAAGGCGCCGCGCGCCCGGGCGACAGCTGACCCCGAGCATCGGGCACCCGCAGGCGGTGATGTGCAAGCTGGTCTGGCTCTTCCTCTCCTTTGCGTCGCCTGCCCAGTCGGAGTCCGCCCACGCGACCAGGTCGACGATGTCCTGCGGCGTGGTGGGCCTGGCCATCCTCGCGCCCAGGTCCATCGTGCCCTCCAGGTACCTCGCCAGCCTCGTGAGGGCTCGCATGTCCGCCTCACGGGGCGATGAGATGCACGAGGTCAGGTAGTTGATGTCGAACTGGGCGTCCTCGCGGTCATGCAAGTGGAACAGCAGGCACATGGTCGCGCCCCTGAGAACAGATGGGCCTCGTCTGGACTGAGATCAGGCGTGTCATCCGCGCCTGTCCTGCGTGCCTCCACCCCTGGGGTGGCGCGCGGGTTGGCCTCCTCAAGGCCCAGCGCCTCCAGCGCCTTCGTGAGGTACTTCTCGTTGGGCTGGACGCGAGCGGCGTCGGCCTCCCGCGCGCGCCGCCTCCTGAGAAACTCGTAGTCGGAACACTCGCCCTGCATGCCTGACCACTTCACCTCGATGTCACGGCCCAGGTCCATCACGAAGTCGGACCCCACAACTCCAGGCGCGCTGCCGTGCATGTCATCCACGTGTAGCTCCACCAGGCATGGGGGCTCGGCGCGCCGGGGGAACTGGGGCGCGGTCGGCGACCGCACGAAGCCCCTGGCCATGGGCTGCTCTGCGGCGAACTCGACCAGCGCTTCCCTCCAGCACGCCGCCCTGGCAACTGCTTCGCGAGCTGCCAGACGCAGTCCTCGGTGTCGCCCTTCGCGCGGGCTCTTCCAGGACCTCAGGTGGAGACTCGACCCACGCGTCCTCCTCCTCGGGGACGTGGTAGTGCGCGTCCTCCGCGTCGACGGCGAAGGTGGGCCATCCGTGCTTCAGGGCCACGTAGTCCACCACTCGGCCGTCGGCCATGCTGCCCCCTGGCGCGAAGAGGTCGTCGCGATACCCCTGCCGCCTGAACTCCCGCGCGACGCACCTCGACTTCGCGACCCTGCACCCGAGTTTCGCGTCCCACTTGTAGACGTGATCCCAGCGGGCACGGGATCCTCTTGCCGACAGCCTCGCCCAGCTTGACAAGCTTGCCCACCCCGTACTGCTTCAGGCCGTCGAGGGCCCGTCGGGTGGAAACCTCGAACAACTGCGAGTCCGACGCATCGTGGGGATCAGGGGCGTCCATGTCTCTGGGGATCTGCAGAAAGTCAGGCCGAACGTCATCACAATGCTCAGCTGCAACTCCGCTAACTCTAGACCGCGCGAGGGTGCCGCTTCGGCCGCTTCGGCGATCGGCCCATCGGAGTTGACTGTGGGGCCACGCGCGCTTGAGCTGCAGCCCGCGGCGTCATGGGGGCGTCTGCCCCAGCGCCTCCCGCTGCCGACGTCGATGTTGCTGGCCCCGCCTGCGCGCCCCCAGCGGGCGACTCGGCGCCGCCCGCCGCGCCAGCAGTAAGTGCCGCCGCGGGCGTGCCCGTCTGGGCAGCCGGCCCGCCTGGCGTGGCGGGCGCGCTGGGCTGGGCTGCGGCGGTCGGGTCTGGCTGGGCCTCAGCTGCCTCTTGCGCCGCCAGGTCGGCGTCCGCAGCGGCAGGGGGCGTGGCGATCGGCTCGGCCCCGCGCGGGGCCGTGCCCTGCCCTCGGCGCCGCCGCGGCATGTGCGTGATCGCCGCCACAGCGGCGCGGTTGAACCCCCGCTCCTCGGACAGCCTCTTGACGGTCCTCGTCGCGATCAGCTCGCCCGTCTCGAGGGCGCAGATGTGCTCGTCGGCGTCGTTGCTCTTCCCTAGCCAGACCGCCCTCGCGAAGCCCATGTCGCCCTTGTGGCGCACCTTGCCTCTCCCCCTGCGGTTCCTGACCTAGGCAGGCGCGCCAGGACGGACCCCCCCGGGGTGGCCATCTCCCTTGAGTAGGCGTGGCCGAAGAGGTCTTCATGCGCAGTGCGGTCGCTTGCCCTGATCCTCAGGTTGGTGCATGCCCAGCCCGCGCGGCGCTGCAACCACTTGTACACGGCCGTGCCTGGACGGACCCTGGCCCCCCAGTCGCGCCTCCAGCGCGCTCCTGCTCGCGCGGAACTGCGCCTGGATGACGCCGCTGGCGTTGTCGGGGGGTTCGACTGGGAGCTGAAAGTGGGGACAGGCTTCACGGCCGCACGGTTGAGCAGCTCCGCCTCGACCTTGTTGGCCAGGTCCATCATGGCGTCCTCGTGGACGGGCCTCAAGATTACCTTCTGGTGGTAGAGGCCCTTGATGAACGCCACCGTGGCTGCCACCGCATAGGAATCGGCGCGTCGGTCAGGCTTCGGGGCGCTCCTCATGGCCCCCGCGTCGGCGTCTGCGATCACCAGGACCACCTCCTCGACCTGTCTTTGGCATCCTCGGCGCGGGGGCCCGCCTCCGCGCCGTCGCCAAGCTCGCCCTTGAAGAACGCCAGGTCGGGGCCTATCACGGGGGGGCTTTCCACCTCCGTATCCAGCAGCTCGCGGGGCCTGTCGCGCGCCCGTTCCATCTGGCAATGCTCACACCAGCGCCGCGGTGGGCAGTGATGGTTCTCCTCGTGCCGCTGTCTTTCCCCTGGCGTCGGCTCGCGGATGTCGGGGAATGTGGTCGGCTCCAGCACTTGCCCCGTCTCCGCCTGGCGCCGCATCTCCTCGCGCCTCAGCACTCGGTAGTCATCCGCTGCCACCTTCACCTTGCGCCTGCCCTCGCACTCGCCAAGCCGAGCCCAGGACTGGGCCTTGGTCCCGCAGCACGGGGCGCACATATCCTTGAAGCTCTTCTGGGCGGCGTCGATCCGCGAGCTCGGCCCGAGCCCCTCGAGGTATGACCGCCCTGGGGGCGGCGCCGCCGCAGGCGCGTCCTGGCCCTGCGCGGGCGCCGGCGCCTCCTGCGCCTGCACGGGCGCCGCCGCCCCCCGCGCCCGCGGTGGCGCAGCTCCTGCGTCTGGCGGCGCTGGGCCCCTTGACCCGCGAGCCTCAGGATGCGGAGGGGGATCCTCCCTTCGCGCTGGCCCCCGCGGGGCTCCAGCAGCGCCGGCAGCGGCGACCCTGGCAGGGCGCGCGGCGAGCTTGGCTTCGCCCATCGGGTCGTGGATCTGCGCAGCGAAGTAGAACGCGTTGCCAACTAGCTTCATGTCTGCCCGCTCGCCCATCTTGAGATTCACGGCATGCGGGTCGCTCCTCTCGAAGACAAGCCTGAACTGCTTGCGCGCCAGCTTCCCAAGGCTGAGCGCCGCGTCCTGAGGGCGAGGTCGCCGCTCAATCCGGGGTTCCCGAGGCACGGCTGGCGACCCTTCTCGCCTCCGACGACCGTCGGGACACGCCCGAGCCCCTCGGTGCCAAACCTCTGGCCGCTCACTGCGGTGAGCTTGGGCGCCGCGAGGTCCTCCTGCACTGTCGGATGATGTGCTCCGGGCGCTTGGCCGCAGAGGTTCTCATCGCTCCCGCTGTCGGCGAGAATGAGCCCCCTGCTCTCCTCCCTGCGTCGTCCTCCGACCGAGCTCCTGACGCCGGAGACCCAGCCGACCTCGTCGCCGTCGGGGCCCGCGGCCGCCGCGCTCACGGCCCTCGAGCCCTCAGCACCCGCGGGGGCCCGCTAGACTGCTGCCTCCTTCGGAGCCGCCGCCGCCGGCACCCGAGGCGCGCCGGCCGCCTTGTGCCAGCAGTCCTTCCCCTTGTGCCCTTGCTGCTGGCACCAGTTGCAGCCCCCCTCGAACTTGGCGGGGGTGGCGCCCTTCAGCTTGTCAGTCTTGGCTCCCTTGTCGCTGCCCTTGCCGCCCAGGTCGCCCTTGCCGCCCGTCTTGTCGCCCTTGCCGCCGCCTGACTCGTCGCCCTTGCGCTTCGGCCAAGGCTGCCGCGGCGAGGCGTGCCCCGAGATCACGGCGATCTCCATCGGCGCTGTGCCCTGGCCCACCGTGCCGCTGGCCGCGAAAACCTGCCCTGACGCCGTCCACTCCCTCAGACGCGCCCTGAGAGCCGCGTGGGAGACCGTGGCGGCCGTCGGAGCATTCCGCAGCACGGTATTGCGCGGCTCGGGGCTGTGCACGAGCAGCGTGGCGATGCGGAGCTCATCACCAAAGTCCTTGCCAGACTGCATGACGTACCTCGCCACGTCATTGCCCCAGTCGACTAGCTGGTCAGCGAACGGCTTCTGGTCGCCCCACCTGGGATTGAGCAGCCCACTGAGCATCGCAGCGAACCTGTTGCCCACCCCAGGCTCATTCTCATTCTTGATCGCCCGCCAGGCAACGAAACCCTCGTGCCTGCCCGCGAGCGTGACCATCGCCAGCGCCTTGCGCTGGGACTTGGTAATCAGCATGGCGTGCAGCAGCTTGCTCGTCGCCGCCGCGCGCTCGCCCATGCTGACGCTGTCCACCGCCAGCGCTGGCTGGGCCTCGGCATTGGTCATCCCGGCCCATCAGCGCGAAGAATGCATGTGCTTTGGTGGACCAGCTGGGCCAGTCCTCGTCTCTGCCACTGAACCCGGGCAGCTTTATGTCGCCTCCGCAACCCACCACCGCTGCCATCAGCAGCGCGCCTCGTCACTCTCCCGTGGATCGTAGTCTGCGTAGCTCACAACAGAACCACTCTCTCCGCTACCATGGCGGAAGTTACGCGGAAGCGTGGAGGAAGCATATATCGGAGCTTCTTTCCTCCAACGCAGCTCGAACAAAAGGGCCTGCGGAGATGTCTTGAATTGACGACGTCCCGAAACACATAGGACCCAGAGCAAAAACGCAACCGCTGGGCGCCCCGAGGCAGGCCCCGAGGCCCCCTCTCCGAGGTACGTCTGTTTTGGGGTACGTTTAACCACCCCTGATTTCTGGCTGGACCAGACATCTGCAGCCCAACTCGGGGATGCACGGTGTGGGGGGGCGTCCGGACTCGATGGGGGTGCGTGCGAACAGCCTCGGGGGTACCTCTGAGCTCCTCTCCATTTCTAAGCGGCTAATGTTGTTTTGGGGGGGCTGGGGGCGAGAAGACGCTTGTGACTATAAGCCCAGGCCTCGGAATGAACGAACTCATGGACATAGGGCTGGGGAAACCAACAGTTACCCATACCTCTACTCCCTGGACCTGTCCCGGAGCGCGTTTGAACCAACATGTAAAATCAAAGTTTGGAGAGCCTCCCATGAGGCCACCCCCCAAAACATTAGCCTGGCGCAGGACCAGACCAGATGCAGTTGTGAATCACGCAGTTGTAAACATCGTTGTCGGTGGAGCTCCCAATGGGACCACGAAACGTGTGAGTGGTGTGCCGAAATTTGTAGTGGGGACGCATACGAACTGTGCCACTGGAACCTTTGGTGGAGCTCCTATGTGGCCACGAAACGTGCGAGGGGTGTGCCGACATGAGTGGCGGGGACGCATGCGAACTGTGCCACTGGAACCTTCGGCGGAGCTCCTATGGGGCCACGAAGCGTGTGAGGGGTGTGCCGAAATTTGCGGCGGGGGCGCATACGAACAGTGCCACTGGAACCTTCGGCGGAGCTCCTATGGGGCCACGAAACGTGTGAGGTGTGAGGGGTGTGCCGAAATGAGCGGCGGGAACACATGCGAACTGTGCCACTGGGACCTTCGGCGCAGCTTCTATGGGAGTGAGGGGTGTGCCGACATGAGTGGCGGGGACGCATACGAACAGTGCCACTGGGGCCTTCGGCGCTTATGATGCCACGAAGCGTGTGAGGGGTGTGCCGAAATTTCTGGCGGGGACGCATGCGGACTGTGCCACTGGGCCCTTGGCGGAGCTCCTATGGAACCACGAAACGTGTGAGGCGTGGACCGAAATGAGTGGCGGGCACGCATGCGAGGAGGCGGAGGAGGAGAGGAAGGAAGGAAGGAAGGAAGGAAGGAAGGAACGCGGGGCACTGTCTCTTCAAAACGGAGACCCAACACCACAAGATGGTTGGGAATAGCACGTCAAGTGTAGCAGTACCGGTACTTCCTTTTCCTCTGAACACTGGTACATCTCCCTGCGTCCAGCCCGCGGTCAGGCCCAGCCAGCCCCCTCGGGCGCATCGACGCGCACAAGGCCTCCAACGAGCGGGCGCCTTCGCCCCAAGGGGAAGAGACAACGGCGACGCAGTGCATATCCCTACCGCGGCAACGGCGGAAAGCGGACCACAGCCTCATCCTGCCCTTGCCCTCCTCCTCTCTGCACTTCTCCTCCGTCGTTCTTCCAGTTTCCAGCATTCCTCACTGTTGCCTGGTGATATGGCACCAAGAGGAGGCAGGGAGGAGGGATCAAGACCTGATACCTTCTAATCCCCTTCAACTCCCTGCACACTCATATCCCTCATCCGCTTCATCCTCCTTCTCTTCCTCTTCCTCCTCCTTACCTCCCTGCCTCCTCCTCCTCCTCATCCTGCTTCCTTCTCTCTGCCTTCTCCTCTTCTGCACTCCCCCTTCGCATCCGCTCCTCGTCCACTTCGTCTCCCCGCTCCCCGCCTCCTTGGTGCCGGCGCCAGTGCCCCCTGTTTCCTCCTGAAATGAATGCGCGTCGAATGGCCAGAAATGCTGAACGCGTTGAACACATGTGCATAGATAGTTAGCTATGCATGTGCAAGCACTGCGGGTCTTCCAGAAGGCCTGCGCGATAACAGGTACTGGCGCGCCTCGAGAACCTGGACGCTGCGGGACCGTTCAGGGCAGCGTGCTCAATTGATCCAGCCTTAGGTCGGGCTTGTCCTCCTACAGGCGGATGTTGGAAGAAACATTTAGCACAATCAACAAACATTCTTCAAAGTTGTTAAACACAAAATCGCAACATCGTCCCCAGACAAATTTTTCCTATTTTCGAATTTTCCCCCTACAGAGGGACATGCCCGACTGCAATCCAGCCTCAGCCACAATCTGGCGGTCGTGACAACCTGTGCGTTTTCGGACCAAGACAAGGCCGCCCACAGCGACAGCCGCCGAACCGACTGGACCGCGGACACCCCTTGGAGGCCGCCCAGGTGTGGTCCAAGCAAATGGGGCCGGGGGGGTCAAGCCGCATCGCCGACGCATGGGCGATGCACCGGCGTGGAGAACATCGGGCTCCACGTCGAGCCGCATCGCCGATGCACTGGCGATGCGGCACGACCCTCCGACCCCGTCTGCTTCGACCCCGTCTGGGCGGCCCCATGGACCCTGGCGGGAATGCCTCGTCGCACGCCTCCCTGCCCCCTGCGAGCATCTCGTCCTGCCGCGAGCGGTGCCGGAGAGGGGGGCGCGGCAGCAGGCCAGGAGGGGGGAGTGCGCACCATGGCCCGAGGCACGTGCGCGGACGACTGGGGGCGAGGGGACGTGCTGAAAGAAGAGAAAGAAGAAGAAGAAACATCGGAGTGAGGGGACCGAAGGTTCATTCACTGTCCCTGGGTGCGTGGCCAAAGTGAGCTCCCGCAGAGCAGATTGTTGTTGAACTCTAACTCTTGAACAAGAAAATGTTGTTGACGATTTTCAGTTGAAGTGCTCCCCCGTGCCTCGACTCCCAACCTTATATCAAGAAAATATTCGTGCTCAAACGGCTTTGTTGGGCCGCGAACTACTAAAACTGCAACAACAGCAACAATAGCAACAACAATCATTTTCAGACTGCTCGTTCTCTTCTGCCCGCGTGCCAATCAACACGTATATCCCGAACCCACGATACCCGCCCTCTTCGTCTTCGATCGTACCCCCATCAGGGGTGCATTATTCTGCCCTGCAATGTGTATTTCGTGCAGCCCTAAGGCAGGGAAAGAGAGGACGGAAGGAAGGAACGGACAAAGGGCAGGCGGGTTGATGAAGCGTGCGTCTTGCATGAATCGCGAGGTAGTCTCGAGCGAGAGCACGATTATGATATTCTGCAAGGCTAGTCTCAAGCAGTTCAAAGAGCATCACATAGCATGTCACAAGCGTGCAAAGCCTATACATGTGCCTTCTCGTGTACATGCACGCCGACACTGTCGGCGTGTGCAAAGAATTTGTGTGTTCGAGTCGTCTCCTTTCCCTGCACCCTCCTGCGAGAGAGAAACCTCGCAATGTCGCAATCGAATCGAAAAGAAACCTTTTCCATTTCATCCCTTCCCCGCGCCTGGGGGGGTCCCGGGCGGGGGTCGCCACCCAAATGCGCGTCCCCCCTGGGCGATTCCGAAACCTCGCGCGGTCCCCGCGCGGTCCCGGACCCCCCGCGCGGTCCAGGAAGCCCAAAGAAGTCCCCAGGAACTCTCCACGAGAACTCCGAGAGGCCCCCGGACTTCCAAGATCCTTCCTCAGGGTGCCCACGAGGGTCCCAAGAGGCCTCCAAAGGCACTCCCGAGAGGGCCCCTGCAGGCACAAATCTTTGATTTTCCTTTGGTTTTTGGCACAGTTGGGCGTTCTCGCCTTTTCTGCTCCCCGCCGCCCCAAGACAGCCGAAGAGGCCTTCAAGATCGCCCCAAGACTGCCCAGGAGGCTTCCAAGAGCACTCCAAAGCATCCCAAGAGAATCCTGAGACAGCCCCAAACGCGTCGAGCACGGCCCAAAACGCCTCCAAGACGGCTCCAAGAGCGTGCCTTGACGGGGGACCCGAACGGACAATTCGAGCCCTCGGCCCCAAGAGGTTCCCAAAGGCCCCAAGAAGCCCAAGGTGCACCGAGGAGTCGGCGCATCTGCCCAAACCCCGTCCCACGCCGGCGGCCTGCCGGGGGCGCTGGGCGGACGGGGCCTGGCTGGCTGCGCCCGGGGACCGGTTTGCTCCCCGGGTTCGGGAACATCCGACCCCGTCGGCACTGGGGCCGCTGCGGCGTGAAGATATGGCTCCTTGGGCCGCTGGAAAGCTGCATGGAAACTTTTACAGCAAGATGTGTGACAACCGTGGTGAACAAAAATTGGAAACAGGGCAGTTCCCGTCCGAGCGTGGCGGGTAGTTTTTCAGCGAAAGCCCTCTCCATGTTTCAGTCCACAGCGGGTGTCGTTTTTCATCCCACGGCGGGTTCAATTTTTCAACTCACGACGGTCTCATTATTTCAACCGACTACGGGGGCCTCTACGGGCTGATCCCCCTGAGCTCAGGGAGGCGGACAGCAAGCGATTAGGACGCCTGTTTCGAATCACCAGGACACTCACCGGACGTTCGCCACGCGCACTCGGGGTGTCGTGGCGGGGGGCGGGGTTTGGGCTGATGCGCCGACCTGTCGGTCCGCTCTGGCTTCCCTACACCAGGATTGAGATGGGGGTGAAGAGCAAGAAAAAACAAGCAGGGACGAGGGCGTGCGAAGGCAGCATCCTGCCTCCGACGCCGCAGATGCAGGCAGCAACTCCCACGCTCCGACGCCAAGAGAAAGATTGGCGGCGTCGTGGTTCCGACGCGCGGGAACAAAAAGATGGAACCGCTATGCACAATTGCAACCGAATCCCACCAGCCCTTTCGGACGTAGGTGGTTTAGCGAGTTAGTGCCTCCAACCGCCTCCTTCTCTTTGGGGGAGTACTTCTCCTCCCATTCCCTCCCTCTAGCTCTGGAGAGAGCGTTCCGCAGGTCGCTGGGTGGTCCAAAACGGCCCCCGGGCGGCCCCAAGAGAACCGCAGCTAGCCAACGATGGCCTACAAGAATATAGCCCAATATTGTGCAAGACAGTTTCCAACGTGCGTCCAATAAACCCAAGACTGCCCCAATATGTTTCCAAATGAACACGGAGCCTTCCAAGGACCCCGCCGAGAGGCCAGAATAGTGCGGAAACCAATCGAAGTCAACGTGTGACTTCTCGCCTTTTCGCTTCCGATGGTCTCTCGAGGATTCAGGACGGCTGCGAAATGGCCCAAGCGAACCTCAAGAACGGCCTGGGGGCCCAATACTGGCTCAAGAGCGCCCAAAAGCGCCCCAACAGGGCTCCCAGAGGAATTTCCTCGGCCTCCGAAGGGGGAGGGCGAAATTTGCTACCCTCTTTTTTTGATCGATGACCTCGATGGAAGTAGCCAAGGCCCCAATGAGAGCCCACGATGGCCCTATGAGGGCCCCGAGAGAATCAAAAAGGCATCCAAAATGGCCCCAAAGGGGCCGAGCGAAAACCCCGACATGTTTCGAGAAGGCCCCCACGGCGTGACCGCATGCTGCCACGCACCCCTGGTCAGGGCAACTCGCCTGGTGATCACTTCCCGACCCTCCCTTGGTTGGGCTCTCGCTCTGAATCGAACAATGCGGTGCCGACTCCCCGCTCTGCCTCCCGCCCTCTGCCCCCCTCTCGCATGCCTGCGCCTGCCTGCACAGACCTGCTGGGGGAGCCAGCACCGTGGGGCCCCAGGCAGACCCAAACGGGACCTCGCTATCCCCCGCAGCGGGCCCACACGCAGGCCCAAACGGGACCTCGCCGTCCCTAGGGGACTGCGAAACAGGAAACTGTCGTCACGTTCGAGGGCTGCTAAGGAAGCCCGCGCAACGGGGTCCCACGCTGACCCAAACGGGACCTCGCCGTCCCTGGGGGGCTGCGGAATGTGAACCTGCCGCCACGTTCGAAAGCTTCTGGGGGAGCCCGCACAGTGGGGCCACACGCAGACCCACACGGGACTTCGCCACCCCTGGGAGGCTGCGAATGTGCAGAACTGTCGCCACGTTCGAAGGTTGATGGGAGTCCCGCACAGTGGGGCACCACGCAGACCCCAACGGCGCTTCGAAGTGTGAACCTGTCATCACGATCGAAAGCTGCTGGGGGAGCCGGCGCAGTGGGGCCACACGCAAACCCAAACGGGACCTCGACATCCCTGGGGGCTGCGGAGTGTGAAACTGTCGCCACGTTCGAAGTTTGTTGGGGAAACTCGCGCAATGGGGCACCACGCAAACCAGACCCAAATGGGACCTCGCCATCCCTGGGAAGCTGCGAATGTGAAAAACTGTCGTCACGATCGAAGTCTGCTGGCAGAGCCCGCGCAATGGGGCCACACGCAAACCCAAACGGCACCACGCCATCCCGGGGGGCTGCGAAACGCGAAACCGTAGCCAACCTCGAAGGTTGCTGGGGGAGCCCCCGCAGTGGGGCCACACGCAGACCGAAACGGGACCTCTCCATCTTTGGAGGCTGCGGAGTGTGAAACTGTCGCCACTTTTGAGGGTTGTTGGGGGGGCCCGCACAGTGGGGCCACACGAAAACCAAAACGCGACCTCGCCATCCCAGGGGGGGGCTGCGAAATGTCACTTTCGAGGGCTGCTACGGGAGCCCGCGCAACGGAACCCCATGCAAATCCAAACGGGACCTCCCTATCCCTGGGGGGCTGCGGAACAGGACGATGTCGCCAATTTCGAAGGCTGTTGGGGGAGCTCGCACAATGGGGCACCGCGCAAACCCAAACGGGACCTTGCCATGCTTGGGGGGCTGCGAAGAGTGAACCTGTCGCCACGTTCGAGAGCTGCTGGGGGAACAGGCGCAATGGGGGCACACGCAAACCCAAACGGGACCTCGCCATACCTGGGGGTCGGCGAAGTGTCAAACTGTCGCCACGTTCGAAGGTTACTGGGGGAGCCCGCGCAGTGGGGCCACACGCAGACCCAACCCAAACGAGACCTCGCCATCCCTGGGGGGCTGCGAATGTGTGAAGCTGTCGCCACTTTCGAGGGCTTCTAGGGGAGCCCGCACAATAGGCCACGCGCAACCCCAAACAGGACCTCGCCACCCCTGGGGGGTCGCGAAATGTGAAACTGTCGCCACTTTCGAGGGCTGCTGGGGGGGGCCAGGGGATCTCGCCATTCCTGGGGAGCGGGGGGGCGCTGCGAAATGTGAAACTGTAGCTACTTTTGAAAGCTGCTGGGGGGGGGCAGCACAGTGGGTCCCACGCAGACCTCGAGGACCTCGCCATCCCTGAGGGGGGAGGCTGGACGCGGCCCTTCATTGTCTGATTGCGTCTCCGCGTATGTAACCTTATCTTACCAAGGTACTTTCGGATGGGCTGCTAGGAATACGCGTCTGTTCAGAGTTTCGGCCAGCAGCTCCCGTGCTTGATATCTTTTTCAAACTCGGATGCTAAGTGGTGCGCCCATCCAACCAGGATTCCCGTCTCCCCAGCTTTTGTGTTCAACTATGGTTTTTTTTTACCCCACCATCTTCGTCGTAAGGCTATTTATTTGCAAGTTTCCAGGCGCGTTTGTTTTCTGATGCCAATTTTGCAAATGCACCCAGAGACACCCGACCCCAATATCAAGTTCGAGGCCCGCATCGCCATCTGCAGAGACGCCAAACACGTTGCTGGATAAA